TCCAGCTGAATGAAACGGAGAAAAAAGTTGAGCAGGCAAATGAGAAAATTAAAGAGATAGACACCACAAGCAAGAAATTGAAGAAAAGAATGGGAGAAGTGGAAACAAAGCAGAACGTCCAAGAAAATCGTTTGTTGCAGTTACAGATGGAAAAAGCTAACATGATTCTCAGGTTCCAGGGAGTTCCTGAAGCAGAGCGGGAGGACCTGAGGAAGGTGCTTAGCGAGATCATCGCTCCAGTAATAGGCTTAACAGCGGATGAACTTGTAAAAGATATGGAGCTAGCCTACAGGGCATACTCCATTATATTAAAAAAAATAGCCTGCCTGGAGAAATAGTGGTCAGATTCTCAAGAAGACAAACTAGAGATGCCATTTTAAAAGCGACATCAGCAACTCCACTGAAAATGGGAAATGTAATAATCAAAACCTTAAAAGACATTCCATTTGAAATTCGACAAAAGAGGAAAAACTATAAAGATCTAATTTATTTCCTTCAAACTAATGGAATATTATACAGATGGGCGGTCCCGGAGGGTGTCATCTTTAAGATTAACGATAAAAGAGAGAAGATAGACTCCACCTTTAAAGCTAAAATTTTTTTACGGCATCAGCTGGGAACAGAGGAAGAGTCTAAGGAGGAAGAAACGAAATCTAGTGACTCTGCCACCTCTGGAATGGAAGAGGACTCTGCTGCAGAAACGGGTGCAGGTCCCGCCAGAGTTGTATACAATTTTAGAGACAGAAAGCCGAAGTGAAGGCAGAAGGACTTGGAAAATGGCCTTCTAAAGCAAAGAACATGATGATCAGAAAGCTCTCTCATAACAACTAACATATTAATACATTTGAAGCAGTGATAAACAAGAACTCTACAAGTATATTGTGATACTAACACTTTTGGTACTAACACTCATACTAACAGTGATAAGATCTCCTCCTCTGGGGGTTTTAGCTTAGTGTGGTTATCTTTTCTTTATCCCTAGTTGTAGTTCCCCTCCCAATATTTTCTTTGTAGCTTTGTAGTCCATTGCAAAATAAAAAATATCCCTTCGGGGTTTAAAAAAATATTTGAATGTAAACTTATTTGTGAATATTGTTTTGAGGTAAGCTCTTGCTTACATTTTCACAAGGACTTGAAATTCACACCCCCACTTTATTTTATATTTCCTATATCAGATTCCTTTGTTCTTAATACATTGTCTCCCCCAAAATACTAAATATTCTCATTATGTCTCTTTTGATTATGAAAAGCACTGGGTTGGGTCAGTGAATCTAAAACTACATCCTGAATTTTTCTGTGCTTCTTAACTGCAATCTGACAGGTTCCACCGGTGTGTTGGAATTAATCAGGCTCCTTTTCCTTACGAAGACCATCAGAAGATCCCAGTATCATTTAAAACATGTCTAGTATACTAGCAATGCAATCCTATGCAGTTACTACAGTGTACGTAACAATTTATAGCGCAAGCCTCCACAATTACTTCACAGTGGGCGTCAAGTAGAGAACCCCCGCATAAGCGTGTGCGGCGGCTGTCCGAACGGTCTGAGAAACCCTCAGTGTATCTCGTTTCCCTCATTTTACCCCGTCTGAGTAGCGCGCCAGTGCCCGTATTCATATCAATGTACAGAACGGAGACACGCCGGCAAAGGCTACCAACTCCTCCAACCTAGACGCCCTCTCTCTTAAACCTTCACTTTCTACTGAAGCGGGGGGTGGGGGGGTGCTACGAGCGGAGCGCCGCCTGTTGTCATGCGCAGTAGCCATCTCGTGGCTTGAGTGGCTCCGCCCGTTGGCGGCTGTCACGGCGGCTCTGCCCCCCCCCCCTTACATATCTTCCCCCTGAGGACGTGGAAAACAGAGGCAAAGGGTGAGTGAGTGAATGAGGGAGGGCGGCGGGGATGGGGTGAGAGCAAAAAGAAACCCCCCTCCCCTTTGAGGAGGAGGAGGAGGAGTCTTTCCCTCTACCTTCCTCCACTCAGAAGCTGCGGCCCCTGAAAGGGTGGGATTCTATAAACCTCCGCGGAATGCTTAGGCGGGGTCAGGAAGGAGGGGGCGGCGGCGGCGGCGGGAAATAATAGGACCATTAAGGTGAAGTTTTTTGAGGGGAGGGAGCTGATATCTTCGGTCGCCTGCAGGGACAGCTCGGTCCACAGGCTCTTATGCGTTTAGCTTTCGTTTTGGGGTCCCGCTTCCCCGTCCCCCTTTAAATCTGCGTCTTGGCTACTTGCTTAGGCGTGGAGTTGGGGCTGCTCTCAGCTGGCGGCGTCCCTCCTCCCTTTCGTCCTTCCGGTGGTTTCTCTCTGCCCCGTCCCATGCAGGGGCGGGGAGCGGTTCCCACGTTTCTTCAGGCTGTATATGGGAAGCAGCAGAGGGACGGTTGCGGGCCAGCTGAGTTCTGTGTCGGTGCCGTTCAGGCGAGGGAAGTACTGTGCATCCTGGGCAGGAATTAACGGTTGCTCCAGAGTACGAACGTGGATGTGAGCCAAAGAGGAATCGGAGGGAGCAGTCTGGATCCGACTGCCTGAAGGGTGCTGCTTTTCAACCCCCCTTCACGGATTGTAACTCTTATAGGTGTGCACCAAAAAAACCCCGCAAAATGTGGATGGAGCAAAACTGTGTTTGAAAGTGCACATCTATCATAAAGTTTAATTTGCCATGTCTCCAGAGTGGGCTGCGGCTGTTTGTTGCCAGGGTTGCTGATTCAGGGTGTGAATTTGAGCTTGAGGGTGGTGGTTTTTCCAACATGCAAAATGCTGCGGTGTATGAAACTTGCCTGTGAAGTATCTCCGGAGGGCAGTTGTTAGTCTATTGTAGCAAGAATAAGCAGATGCCTTGTGGTATCATAAAAGACATTTTATTCTGGCCTAAGCTTTTCTGGACTGGATTTTGGAAGCTATGAGTGAAGCTTCTTCCCTGCAATAATTTTACATACAGGGAGGATCCACTCAAAGCATCTGAAGTAGGGTGTATCCCACAAAAGCTTATGTTGGAATACATTAAGACTCTAAGGTATCACAAGACTCCTAGTTGAAATGCCAGCCTGGGTAACAAATACTTCCGTGTATGGCAGTACCATACAATGGGTTTCATGGGTCTCCTGCCCACTAGTGTTTGCTATGTATACAACTCATTAAGAAATGAAGTGCCCTTCAGCCCACATTTGTGTGAATACTTCTAATGTGGGGTGTGTGTGTGTGGAAACTGGGGGTTCTTTTGATCATGAGAGCACAGCCTTATCAGCTAAAAGCATTGCACTTTTAAAATATTGGTGATGTAGTGTGTCATCAACAGCACCTTTTTGTAGCTAGGGTTTGAATTTCAATATGTATAAAAGGTATATAGAAGAAGAAGAAGAGATGGTTTTCATACCCTGCTCTTCACTACCTGAAGGAATCCCAGAGCAGTTTACAATCTCCATCTCTTCCTCTTCCCATAAGAGACACCCTGTGAGGTAGGAGGGGCTGAGAGAGCTCTGAGAGAACTGTGACTGGCCCAAGGTCACCCAGCTGGCTTCATGGGGAGGAGTGGGGAATAAAAAAAACACAAAAACCCAGTTCCTCAGATTAGAGTCCACCACTCTTAACCACTACACCAAGAGAGCAATACTCACTTTTTCAAAACAAGGGGAATGGGAAGACATACCAGCCTGTCCTTTAATGACTGATATGTGGTGGTAATTCTTTGGTAAGAAAAAGATTCTCTGCGCTGAATATTTTGCAGTGTAAAAGGCATGCAGGAAGTGATGGAATTAAGCTCAATGTACTCAGAGAAACAACTTGCATTTTTATTATTTATTGCTCCTACCTACATCCCATGCACTGCAGGTCCAATCTCCAGCATTTCCAGACAGAAGAGGCTCGGGTTTCAGAGCTAGAAAAAAGTCGTTGCCTGTAGTCCTGCTAGATTCAGGTCCAGTAGCACCGGAGACAGAAGCAAGCTTTTGGGGGTATGAGCTTTTGAGAGTTAAAGCTGCCTTCATCAGATACTCTGACGAGTAGCTTGTCAGATACTTTGACTCTTGAAAGCTTATATCCCAAAATCTTGTTGGTCTCTAAGGTATTAAAAAGGTAAAGGTTCCCTTGCTCGAAAGCCAGTCGAATCCGACTCTAGGGTTGCAGTGCTCATCTCCGTTTCAAAGCCGAAGAGCCAGCGCTGTCCGAAGACGTTTCCGTGGTCATGTGGCCGGCATGACTCAACACCAAGGCGCACGGAACGCTGTTACCTTCCCACCAAAGTGGTACCTATTTATCTACTTGCAATTTCTTGCTTTCGAACAGCTAGGTTGGCAGGAGCTGGAACTAGAGACGGGAGCTCACCCTGTCTTGCGGCACCCGGGTCTTGAACTGCTGAACTACTGACCTTCCACAGCCTGCAGTTCAGCGTCTTAACCACTTGAGCCACCGCAGCTCCATTCTCTAAGGTATTACTGGAATTTAATCCAGCTCTTCTACTGCAGACCCACACAGCTACTCTCTGAAACTGCCTGTAGCCTTGAAATCTACTGCCAGAGCAGTAGATAATACTAAGACCAATAGTCTGGCACGGATGTATAATGGAGTAGACAGATCCAACCATCTTCCAAGTAGCCTTCTCAAGATTATGGAGGCTTCCTCCAATTTTTGGCTCTTTTTCCAATGGAAGAAGGCTTCAAACCTGAAAGGAAATGGGAGGTATAAATATTTTAACACATGCATTAAAATTAATAAACGTTGCTTAGTAGAGTGCTAGGTACTATGGAAAATATGGTAATCAGTATATGAAGCTCTAGACTGAAAAACAAATCGGTCTCCTATTTTGGGCGGGTGGCTTCTAGAGCCAAAGAAAATTTGGCAGGGCCTGTGATAAGATACAGTAATTAATTCTGCAAATAGAAAAAAAAAAGTAAAGTAAGTTTACATATATGTGGCAACCCTCTGCACAACAAATCACATTTTTATTCCCAGGAGGTACCAGTAACAATACAACAGATAAGATCCAAAGCTATAGTATGCATATGCAGGAGACAATGGTCAGAGCTGCCTTTGGTTTTTGGTGCAATACTTTTTGAATCCAAACAAATATGCTGGTCTTAATGCTGGAAAGCAGTTTGAGTCTTTGGTAATGGAAATTACTGAAGTTTCAGGATATGGTTGTTGTTAATGAAGCACTGAAGGGTAGGTAAATTTCAAAACAAAAGGGTATACATAAAGTCAAACACATGACAAAGATGCTAACATCAATAGCGGTTACATGCTTGGGAACAGAAAAGAGTTTCTTGTGATATAACAATATTTGCTCAGAAACGGGTAAATGTAGTTGGAATAAATCATGTTATACTATTCTTACTCATGTACTTAATATTTATTTTTGTGCACATATATTTCTAGAATGGAATTTTTAAAAAAGAAACTCAGGGCTATTTTTGGGCAGGAATGCACAGGAACAGAGTTCTGGCTGGCTTCAGAGTTGGCCACGCCCACTACAGCCAAAACCTCTCTGTGTGTGGCTACAGATGGAAGGCCTGGAGAGCGCCCCCCCCCCAGCGACTTCGAGGCGGGCGGGCCAGGGGGCCCAGTCTGTCCAAGGGCTGGCTTGCCTGGGCTCCCCACAGCCGCGGGGTGCCTGGGCAAGCCAAGGGAAGGCATTGGAGTGTGGCCTAATATGCTAATGAGTTTCTGCTGTTGTGTGTGGCCTATTATGCTAATGAGTTCCTGCTGGGCTTTTTCTACCAAAAAAGCCCTGAAGAAACTGATGCATCAAAAACAAAGATGTGTCCACACATGTGACTCTTTCCAATGCCCACATACTGCACCTTTGGTTCACAGTTTATCTGGATCCTGGTCTATTGTATGAAGCTTTTAACAAACGTTAAGTCATTGCTAGAAAGTCAGTTTCATTTAGACAGTAACTGTTATAGTGGTGGATTGTGATTCACTTGTGGCGTAGATCCAAAGCTTGCTGTGCTGGCAAACAAATGCTGATTATGGAAAGCATTAACTGCTGCACCAGCACAGTTATCTAGGCCCAGGGCTAGATAGAGAAGTGTAAACTATTCTTTTATACCTTTAAAATATGTCTTTTTTATTATACTAAGGCAAAAAATAGTTAAACTGAATCAAGATTGCTGATTAGGATTTCTGCTTGACTTGATAAAATATTTGCTTTTTAAAAAAGTTAATACAGGCTTTAAAAATGTTAAGCTATAATGTTGTAAACATTTTAACAACAGGGCTTTTTGAACACTGTCCCTGTAACTGATAGTCCAAAACAATGTGGAAGTACTGGACATACGTTATCTAGGTTGAACGTGAAATGCTGTTTTACCAGAAACAGGAAAGTGTTATAATAGTTACCTTGTAGCTTGGGGGTGTGCTGGGGGTGATGAACATGACCCATCCTTTGACATGCTCGTGTCTACAAGTTGCAAAGCTGCTTTCCTCTTTTTACCCTTTGGTAAGGCAGTAGCCCAAAAGATGAAGATAAGCTGGTCTGCGTATGACACCTTTGAGGCTAATTTCAAACCTTTGGTGGTCATCGAGCTTGCAGAAAACACCAAAGATGAAACCAAAGAATGGTTGACACAAAAGATTGTGGAGAAGAAGAAAAATGGAGGTGAGTATTCCCAAGTTTTATAAAATTGTTCTGTTTGAAAAGGCTGTTGTCATTGCGTTTAAACACTTTAGTAAATTAGAATAGCATTCCTTTTTTCAGCAGCAAAAGGAAACAGTGATATGAAGGAGTATGACTGAAACTAAACTGTCAATTGTGAAATATAAAACTACTGATCAGTGGTAAGTGTGCAGGGATGGTCGGGATGGTAGGAACAGTAGAAAGGAAATAGTTTCTGATTTAGCCAGCGAAGGAGTCTCGAAGCTTTCAGAGGGAACTGTTTTGGGAACTGATGCTATTTTGAGACTAGTGGGTTTCATGATGGTGGGAAGTAGTCCCCCCACCATCACTTCCAAACAGCATCATGGGGCATTTGTGTATCATTCAGGTTGCTTCTATTAACCGACACTACAAGATTTTCTCCAATCTTTCCCAAGTCTGGACAGCTGCCATGTGGTCAGAAAAGTTCAAATTTCCCCACTCTCATGCACGTAGCCCTTGCTGTGGTTGTTCTTCTCTGCTACCAGGGACCTGTTTTTTTAATTGGCAATTGAATATATATCCCATTCTCTGAATTCTTAGCTTTCATTTTAAAAAGGTGTCTCTAGCCCTTTTTGTTGCAGAGATACTCCTGAAAGGTGGGGATTCAGGCCACATCATAAAAACATTACAAAAATATTAGTTGTCAATTAAAAAAAAAACTCCTGAAAAAGTCCCTGTGGGGTGGGGATGGCTGCTGCCATAGGTACTGGGGCAGGGAAAATGCAGGGGAAAGTATGTAGAATCCCCATTGCTTGGTTACATATTTTGTATTATATGCTTTGTGTGTGTATCTAATTAATTAATTGAAAAGGAATACACATGTGAGAATCTAATCTAATAGCCTAAGCTAAATGCTATATGCTTTTTTGACAATAAAAATTCAAATACCAAGCTGTGACTTGGTGGCAGTTTACACACACACAATGTGTGTGGCCAGTTCATCACATATCTAATTCTGAACTGGGCCATAGAGTGTGGATCAATAGATCAGCAAAATGGAGATAGGGACAGGGAGGAGGGGTTTCTCTACAAATGTGAAGGAAGCCCCAAGTTTGCAAAACAATCTGAAATTAAAAAAAAAATTAATTGGGGAATTAAGATTAGAAATAACACCTATAGCTTTAAGAAAAGAATGCCTACTGAACTCTCAGTGGCCATTTTGGAGGTTGCTATGTGACCACAGAAGTATTGCTGAGTCTTTCAAGCCTTGGTTTCTGTAAAGCAAAACTGGAAGGTGGAGAGAAGGTGTTGACTTGGACAAAACAACTGGGCCCAGCAGTGGTGCCTGCTGCATAAGAACATAAGAGAAGCCAATGTTGGATCAGGCCAATAGCCCATCCAGTCCAACACTCTGTCACACAGTGGCCAAAAATACCAGGTGCCATCAGAAGGTCCACCAGTGGGGCCAGGACACTAGAAGCCCTCCCACTGTTGACTCCCCCCCCCCAAGCAATATGACTGGGCCTGGCCCAGCAGTAGCTGCTGCTGTGCAGCCGGGCCAGAGTTTTCCCAGGGAGAGGCTGGGAGAGGGAACACTGAAGACAGTGGAGCAGATAAAGGTGGGATGGCCAGTGGATGGGAAGAAGAGAAGGAAGCAGGAAGAGGGGAGAAGGGATACAGAGGAAAATGAGGTCTCATTTAAGTCCTTACAGGTCTCCTGCTTGTTGTATAATAAGCAGAACTTATTTCTTTTGTTGCCTTGTTTTGAAGGAGCCCAACTTCTAATTAAACCTTTGGTGGAAGATGGGAAAAAAATAGATGGGAACCAGAACATATATCTTGTCGGGGCATCTCACTTGAGGCTACTTCTGGGAGCTGAAACAGTGGGACTGGTGAAAGAATGTAACGATCATACAATGAGAGCCTTTACATACAGCAGTAGAAAAACTTTCAAGAATTTTGCAGGTAAATAATTCTTCAAGAGTCTTTGTGGAATAATTGTTTTCTGCTATTGAGGTGTTACAACCATTCTTACAGCATAACATTCTATCACAGAGTTTTGTTTTTGAACACTGAGCTTTCCACTTCTGTTGATGCGTGTGACTCAATATGATGCAAGTGAAAAAGTTCATGAGGTTGCTACTTTTTTGTAATCATTAACAGAAGTGTTCATTATAAAATGTTGAATATGAAATACAGACTTTAGTAGAGATGCAATTTTTACTTAATGGTGAATGTTAGGGTCTTCTCTAAGGCTGATTTCGCACTAGAGCTGCCTCGATGTTGCGCCGCCGTTTGCCCCGATACTATTGGTCAATTTCACACCCGAAGCCATGGGGCTGCATTTGACCCGCGGCTTCGCCCAGTTTCCTCCGCACTTTCGTGATCCTCAAAAAACAGGATCACAAAACTGCGGGGGAAATCGGGCGAAGCCGCGAGTCAAAATGCAGCCCCGCGGCTTTGGGTGTGAAATTGACCAATAGTATCGGGGCAAACGTCAGTGCAACATCGAGGCAGCTCTAGTGCGAAATCAGCCTAAATGTCTTCACACATACTCTCAGTCTAGCCTACTTCGCAAGGGTATTGTGAAGATAAAATAGAGGAAAGGAGAGTATAAGCCACTTTTAGGTCTCCGTTGGGGAGAAAGGTGGAGTATAAATGAAGTAAATAAAATAATTGGGTACTTTGTTGAGGATCCTTCTCCTTTGTTGATTCTTTGTGCCTCCACAATCTCAAGGCAACTTTCAACCTTGCCACTTCTTTCTTTGTTTAGAGGACAATCATGATTTCCTCACAATGACAGAGTGTCAGTACATCATCAAACATGAACTTGAAAACCTGAGAGCCAAAGCCGAAAAAATGATCCCTGGCTACCCACAGGCAAAGCTTTATCCTGGAAAATCAATTAGTAAGTAACTTTGTATGGCAGTTTTTAACTGCAAGAATACTGGGTGGGGAATATGTGAATCATGTGGTTTTCAGTTAGCTCCAGGGGATATTTAGATATCTACTGCTGTTTGGTACAGTTTTCATAGATTAACCTTTTGTATTTACAGTTCCTCAGACAGAACCATCTAGATGAATCTTATACACAAACAACAACAGCTTTCTGAACATCTTACAGTTACCTAATTTTCTAGGAGAGGTTGTGGGTGTGATAAATGCTTAAATACTGCTTGGTCCCACCACTCTGTGCATGCACACAGTGCTCTCACAGCAAGAAAAGGCCAGTTCTGACATGGCACACACAGGAGTGCCTATGCTTAAAAAAGTCATGTCAACATTTGTTATTTGTAAGGTTTCTAGAGCTAGACCCATGAAAAGGATCTGATAAGAATGTGGGATATGCTTATTTATCTTTTGGGATAAATATTGTGAGTAAACAGTTCTTATGCTTACGTGAAATTCATTTAGCCTATGTAGGCCAGATCTCAGAAGCCAAGCAGGGCCAACTCTGGCAAGTATTTGGATGGAAGACCTCCAGAAACCAGGGCTGGGAGACAGAGGCAGGCTATCAAGCCATTTCTCTGAATGTCCTCCATGCCCCAGTAGGAGTTGCCAGAGGTTGCCATGACTTCCAGGCATGGGCGTGTGTGTGCACACACACAAACACAAATGCAAAAATAACAAACAAAAGATTTACAATTTTATTTAAAAGCAATTTGGCTTGCTTTGTAGAAGATCATTTAGATGAACTCTTTGTTTTGTTTTTTCTTCAGTGCGAAGGCTTCTAACCAATGGTATCTTAGTTCATATGTTTCCACTTCATGACACAGAAGAATTAAAGAAACTCGGGCACACATGGTATGGCCAGCTAAAAATCAGTTACCAGCCTTTAGGTAAGTTAGTACTCTGTCAGTGGAAGTAATATGAAAATACTTGCTTGATCTTGGGCTGTTTGATATGATGTGCACTCTGTTTCTAACTCATTGTGGTCCGTGATCGTAGCTTGTAATGCTGAGGATAACTTTATGAATTATAGGCTATATAGACCATCAAAACTACAGTGTGCCACAATGAGAAATAGGTAAGGTGGTTTTCCAGAAAATAGTTTGAGTTGACTCATATAAACAAGTGAAGCTACATGCTCAAGATGGCTGGGAAACAAAATCAGAAGTCACCAGCCAGTAAGATCTGGAGGAAACGTCCCTCCTGGTTTCAAATCTGATGATTACTCTATCCCAGAGGTGTTGAATTCATTTGTTACCAGGACCGGATCTGACATAAATGTCACTTTGTAGGGCCGGGCCATGTATGCCATAAAATGTAACACAAGGTACAGGAGATATAAACTTCATAAAGATGATTTCAGATGCCGAATGGCAATAGCAGGCGTGATTGGATTAGGTGTGATATGCAGAGGGATGGAGATATCAGCATTGGTGTGATATACAGAGGCGCGGAGATATCAGCATTGGTAATGAAACAGGAAACCTAGGTCTCAATTTGGTACAGGAGGATTCAGTCCAGAGGATGCAAAAAATAAATGGAAACAAGTCTGAAGAAGTGAGCAATGACTCACAGAAGCATATACTCTCCAATAATTTTGTTAATCTTTAAAGGTGCTACTGGACTCTTACTCTTTCTACCACTATTAGAAACCACAACATTCAAAACCCAGTGGGGGGACATTTTAACCTTCCAGGGCATTCAGTTGCTGACCTAAGAGTAGCAGTTCTCTTACAAAGGAATTTCAAAGGGAGATTAGAAAAAGGTTGTTGAATTGCAACTGATCATGAAGCTCAAGACAATGCAAACTCCTGGACTGGACCGAGACCTCAGTTTCTTCTCTCATTGCCAGTGCCTGCTATTGTCATTTGGCATCTGAAATCACTTCACTCTCCAAGATATAAGGACAGATGGACTCACATTCCAGCTGTATGTGAAGAAGTGAGCAGTGATTCATGAAAGTTCATTCCCTGCCACAAATTTTGCAGCCCTGCGTGGGCCTGATCCGGCTCATGGACCACACGTTTGACACCCCTGGTCTATCCCATAATAGCGTTTCAGTTTACACCAGTGAAGAACATGTACTGAGTGTCTGCTAATACAAAATAGGCACTTCACATTTGCAAACTAAGTCAATTCATACTTCAGAAAAATACTGAGTTTGACAAATGGAGGCTTCTTGAAATCATCTGTGCCTGGCAGCTGCTGCATATAATAATAATAATCAGTTAGCTACCTGGATCAGCTGAAGCAAAACATTCTTTTCAGGGGTTTGTGGTGGCATGAAGAAAACTTCTTAGCATGTTCTCATGAGTCGTGGCTGGCCACATGACTTTGTTAGGTGACTCTAGCATGCATTCCTTGCTACTCTGTGAATTAGCATTTTCAGCATCCTTAAAAACTTGAGGTAGCAATTGTAAATTCCTTTATACATTGAGGGTCTAGAACTTAGTAGTAACATTTTAAAAATCCCTCCCAATATCTACTCACAGACTGGTGTATTTTCTGAGTATGATGATCACTCTCTCTTTTTTTTTTTAAACAGATGAAATTCGCAACTATTTTGGTGAAACAATATCTTTCTATTTTGCCTTTTTGGAGTATTTCACATTTGCTTTGATTCCAATGGCCGTTATTGGGATTCCTTATTATTTCTTTGCATGGGAAGATTATGACAAGTACGTGATTTTTGCAACCTTCAATCTGCTTTGGTCTACGGTTATCCTTGAAGTTTGGAAGCGTTGCTGTGCTGTGATGGCCTACAAGTGGGGGACATTGTTGATGAAACGACAGTTTGAAGAACCAAGGCCAGGGTTTCACGGGGTTCTAGGCATCAACCCTGTGACTGGGAGAGAGGAGCCCGTGTACTCCAGCTTCAAAAGACAGTTACGAATTTATTTAGTTTCCTTACCATTTGTGTGCCTTTGCCTCTACATCTCGCTGTACGTCATGATGATTTACTTTGACTTGGAAAACCAAGCATATTTATATCATGAAGCGAACCAATCCGATTTAAGCAACTTGCTGTTATATGTGCCTAGCATAATTTATGCTGTTGTGATTGAAGTTCTAAATCGCATCTATCAATATGCTGCAGAGTTCTTAACCTCATGGGGTAAGATATGCCTCTCACTTTCCTATATTCTTTTATTTTTTTAATGGTGGAATTGCATGATGATTTGAACCAGCGTGTGATTTCTTAGGTATTACCAGGGCTTTTTTTGTAGAAAAAGCCCAGCAGGAACTCATTAGCATAATAGGCCACACCCAACATGAGAAACTCATTAGCATATTAGGCTATACCCCTGACAGCACAACTCATTGGCATATTAGGCCACACCCGCATGTTACTGGAAGTGTGCTCATCCAGGCACACCCACCTTTTGCTTCTTATTCTGTTTACCTTGTTTGTTGTCCAAAACCAGGACTTTTTTGTAGCAGGAACTCCTTTGCATGTTAGGCCACACACCTCTAATATAGCCAATCCTAATGAGTTTCTGCTGTTGGGTGTGGCCTATTATGCTAATGAGTTCCTGCTGGGCGTGGCCAACTTGGAAGCCAGCCGGAACTCCGTTCCTGTGCGTTCCTGCCCAAAAATAGCCCTGGTACAAATCATCTGGCATGACGGAATTGTCTTTATTATGTGAACTATAATACTCATCAAGTTGATGGAAGCTGTAGCTTGATTACTGTCTCTTCTGCTGTGTGTACTGACTTGAAAATTATTATGCAAAAAAAATTTTTTAGTGGAACTGTAATGTTTTGTGTCTCCTGCCAACCTAGCAGTTCGAAAGCAAGAAATTGCAAGTAGATAAATAGGTACCACTTCGGTAGGAAGGTAACAGCGTTCGGTGCACCTCGGTGTTTAGTCATGCCGGCCACATGACCACGGAAACGTCTTCGGACAGTGCTGGCTCTTCGGCTTTGAAACGGAGATGAGCACCGCAACCCTAGAGTCGGATTCGACTGGCTTTCGAGCAAGGGAACCTTTACCTTTACCTTTAATGTTTTGTGTATTCATAGAACTGTTAGTTTATTGTGATGGAGAGTAACTATTTGTACTGTGCAGATAATTGAAGAGTTTGCAGCTCCCAGTTTTAATAACAGGAACTCAGCACATTGGCCCTAACATTTCATCTCAGGAAATAATGGAAATGTGAATGAGCAAACTGTACTAAAGTTTTAGATCAAATAGCTCTAAGAGCCAGTGTGGTGTAGTGGATTGAGATTAGGGAGACCCAAGTTCAAATAGTCACTCAGTCACAAACCTCCCCAAGTGGTCTTGGACTAGTCATGATCTCTTGGGATCAAGCTACACTTGATTTGGGAGGATCTGTGACTGGACTTCCGAAGTATAATTTTAGCAGTAGCAGCTGTGGTGAGGATTTGGGTCATGGTGTGTGTGCGATGATACACTTTCCATCTGTGCTGTTTCCCCCAAGATGCCATGGCTCCATTCCTCCAGCCATTATTATACTTGAAAAGGACCAACGATAGCTATGGTACAAGTACCAGATTCCTTCCCCCCAGATTTAATAGCAGCTTAGTGGGTGATGGATGATTGTTTCCCCAGTGGAAAGAGTTAAAACACCAGCCAGCACAGCTCACCAATGCCTTATGGCCACCTTCTTCACTTCGCCTCAGTTACCCACTGGGAGATTCAATCCTGGATACCCATCATCCTGTGTAGATAAGTCCTAAGCATATATGCTCATTGAGGATAAAAACAAGACCCATATATGTCAGTGTGACCTGACCTCCCTGAATGAAGAGTCGAATAATAATGAAATAAAGATTATGCTTAAAAGATGTCTACATTTATATAGAAAACAGAAACTTTCAAAGTAGGTCAGATACTGAAAACAGAGAATTTGAAAATTTTCTGGGGAGTAATTATCTGATGCTGCCTTAAAGCAAAGTGTGTAAATAGATGTATGTTCATTTAGGGTGCTGTTGCACATGGGAAACAAGTTCAGATTCTCACTCGGGTATGAAGTTCGCTGTCTTAAACAAGTTAATTTCTCTGATTGATGTAATCATTGTGAGGCTACAATACTTGTTTTAATCCCTTGGAAGGAGGGAATAAAACTAAAATATTGGACCTAGTTATAGAGATCATTGAGTGAGTAAGTAGACTAATCCAGTAAAGGTTTCATCACAGAGTAAAATTTGACCGCCAGTTAACCACTGGGGCTGATATTGAAAGGTCTGCTGACAGGGAGGCTACACAAACTCCTACCTCAAGGAGGAAGGGAAGCCTAGAAAGCGTTTTCAATCCTTTCATGACTCCAAGCGCTCTTCACACACAGGATACTCCCCAGTCCTTCAGAGGTAGGTGACAGCCGAAGCCACGAGAAGGGAACAGGTTGTCGTCATTCCATAAGTCCAACCAAAACATGAAGGGATCCAAGAAGCATGAGTATGCTGATTCAGTATACACTGTAGGAATCAGAGGATGTCTACAGAGGTTTCCAAGTCATTGGCAACAGACAGTGCAGGACAAGTGGGTATTGGATAGAATTATCAATGGGTACTCCCTGGAATTCAACTGCATTCCCCCAAGACGTTTCCTTCAAATTCCAAAGAGCCGATCCGATAAAAAAACACCATCTTCTGGAAATCATTTAAATAGTTCAATTGCAAGTAAAATCATAAAATTATAAAGTGCTGGACACATGTCATTAATTAGTTATGGTGGAGTACTTAAAGTACATACATACATATAGCACACAGGGCTCTTCTTGTTAGCAGGAACTCCTTTGCATATTTGGCAACACACCCCTAATGTAGCCAATCTTCCAAGAGCTTACAGAGCTCTTTTTACAGGGGCTACTGTAAGCTCTTGGAGGATTGGCTACATTAGGGGTGTGTTGCCTAATATGCAAAGGAGTTCCTGCTACACTATTTCAGCTCAGTAATCTTCCTAGGTTGCGTGACGGCACAGGCCAGATGTTAACAGGTAGGTTTGGTGTTAACTGGCACAGTAGTAAGATCTTAGTGTTCCAAAAACATGACAGGAAAGGGAACAATGTGCTTGGCGCAAAAAACACCAAATCTTTTCTCCTCTTACAGTTTTGACACACTAATGGGATTTGGAATGAATTAAGCAGGAAAGATAATCTTGGGCAAAAAGCTAAAAACTAATGAAGATACATTGACCATTTTGGTGAACCTAAAACAGACAATTGCATCAAAAACCATAATAAGAAAAGACAAAAATAGATTGGCACAGTGGGAAAAATGTATGTATTAAACTTGACAACCCCTACACAGTTTTCCTTATGCTTCAGGGGGATCCGTATGGTGGTGTTGCCAGAAGGTTCCCAGAGCAGCTAAACTACGCTTGCTTTCAGTGAGCCTATTAAGAGCGTATATCCAATATTTAATAATTATTTAGTGCTATTGGTGTATCGTAGTTTTAGGGATGTGGTCTGAATGCAGCTATACGTGTATGGATAACAAGTAGCTGTTTTAAATTTTAAATACATTTGTTATGTTACATTTGGATGAAGAAAATGTCTTACTTGCACTGGCTCGAAGTGCTGTCTAAAGTGTCTCAAGTTTATATGTTTTGCATTGATTGGGGCTTCATATTAAATTACAGAAAACCATAGATTGGAATCTTCATATCAGAATCACCTAGTTCTGAAAGTCTTGGTGGTATGTATATACTTTAATTGTGTTTTGGACTATTGTGTTTTGGACTATCTCTTGTACGTTTCTCAGTTAAATGAGAGCGTTACCAAAGAATGTTTGCTTGGGACCAAACATAAGTATGTGATCAGAAACTGCATCTGTGTCTAGAGTGGGTTTTTGAAGAGGGAGGGGGTTGCCAATTTGTCCTTGGCTATAGTCCCTTCGAGCGCCGAAGAATAGATTCTTTTGAACTATGGTGCTGGAGAAGACTCTTGAGAGTCCCTTGGACTGCAAGAAGATCAAATCAGTCAATCCTAAAAGAAATCAACCCTGACTGTTCCCTGGAATGCCAGATAATGAAACTGAAGCTCAAATACTTTGGCCACCAAATGAGAAGGGAGCACTCACTGGAGAAGACCCTGATGCTGGGAAAGATTGAAGGTCAAAGAAGACGGGAACGGCAAAGGATGAGATGGTTAGACAGTGTCATTGATGCAACGAACATGAAATTGAGCCAACTTCAGAGGACGGCGGAAGACAGGAAGGCCTGGCGGGATCTGGTCCATGGGGTCGTGAAGAGTTGGACTCGACTGTGCAACTGAACAACAAAAATAGTCCCTTGACTGCCCAGAGCCCTTCTGGAGGGCCTTGTGGCATGGAGGTATCCATGTATGTGAAGGAAAATGATGACCAGTTTGTGCAAGCAAAGTGCTTTTTGCTTGTGCATAGGGCAGTCTGGAACCTTCTTTCCTGTAAAACTCAGTTTTCAACATGGCTTAGCAAAATATTTTCCTGGGGGATTGTGTCTAGCATTTGGCAGTCCTAAAACCCATTCTTTGGATATTTGGTCATCAATAATCCCACTTTGTTCGGTGAGATATCCTTCTGAGGAAGTATATATAGGACTGCAGCCTGAATATGAGGTTTGTTCATTGGGATTAATCATAACATAGGTTGGGTTTGTTTATTGGATCAGTTTTAAAATACTTTTTCAAGCAATAGGTTCTGTGTCAATTGTTGGTCTTTACGAAGATGCAGTCTATCAAGCACTGATTCTGCAAATGCTTCTTCAAAGTAAATTAGGATGTTGTACTTGAACTGGGTGCTTGGGCTTTTTCTAGGTACTCTGTAGATCTTGTTCTCTTTGTGAACTATTAAAGCAGATATTGAGCTATCAAGTTTCATTCCGAAGATTATTTAAACAAAAAGTACCTAAATATTGAAAACTATTTAGAAAAAAAATTAGATGCGTTCTTTTAACTGCATAATTTGAATTGTAGTCTTGAATTGAGTTAGATCAGGGTTGGCAATGTAAGACTTGTAGACAAGATCCAACTCATCAGAGCTTTTTCCAGTGACTGGTTTGTAAGTGAATTTCCACATGGTGGCAGCATAGGCTGCATGGGCTAGAGGAGAAACCTTTCTGGGTTGGATATGTCACCTGGACCTTACCTTGTCCATCCCTGAACTAGACTACTGCTACTATTTAAATACTGTGTTTTGTCTTTTGCAGTTCAACTTTTTTAACTGTTTTGCCTCTTTATTCTACATCGCTTTTGTCATGTTTGATATGAAACTTTTGAGGCAGGTAAGTGTTATGAAAAGATACTTATATGTGTTTTTATAGATAAAAAGACAGTTCTTAAAAGTCCTACTAACTACAGGGTATGTGATCATTTGCATAATTATTATCTTATATAGATTTCAGCCGATTATTTTAGTGTCTCCAATAATTCCTATCAGTGACCATCGGTATGAATCAGGCACATACTGAATAATTGCTGATAGACAAATAAGTTCCAAAATCTCTCTGGGTAGTTTGTATTAGTGCTGAAGTGTTCTTGTAGTTTTTCTTAATATTTAATTTAAACCATTTGTCCCATAATTTGATAGCTTTGTTCCATGCCTGAAACAATAGTTTTCTAGTTTGCTTTACTTACAGCCAGTGCTCCCTCTAAGCTGTGGAGTCTTGTGAGCAAAAATTCTACTTTGTGAGCTACGGGCATTAAAGTTGTGAGCAAGTGATTTGGCTGTTGCATAAATTAGTTTGCTCTGGAGCTATCCTTCCTGAGCAAAGACCAAAATCTGTCAGCTGGAGGCTAAAAAACTGTGAGCTAGCTCGCACTAACTCAGCTTAGAGGGAACACTGCTTACAGCACACTGCATCTGCTTATTTGCTCCCTTTGACATTTATTGTATTCATTATTTATTTAGATTTTATATTAATAGTTATATCCTCCTTGACTGAACAGGTTTTCAACATAGCTTTAGAACAATTTAGTAACTACCAACAAGTGCATAGTATTACATTTCCATTTCTCCACATGGTTGTGTATTTTTCTAAGACAATTGGGTTTTATTGCACAGCATACTTTAGTGTAATTTTGTTTCTGTTGTATGTGACCTGTATTTGTTGTATAAACCCTTTGTTTGTTTAACATTCTTTCCTGGGAATTGTGCATTTATGTTTTGCACTCATTCCTGGTTTTAATAAGAGCAACTTAAGTTTCCTGTGATTGTGATCCACTTTGGAGCCTCTGTTTTTGTCACCCTCTATTTTTTTAGGCGAGATAGACAGTGCCAAAGGACAGGGCCTTCTTGGCTATGGCACTCCAATTATAAACGTCTGTCTACCTGATACCAAATCTTTTAAGACTTCTGCACCCGGTGAAGGCATTCTGTTCTCTAAGGAATCTGTTGATTTTGTATTCTTCTTTCTGTGTTGGTATTTCTACTGTTGTTCATATTATATATATTTAATATGTTATCATTGTCATTTGTTTTATTGTATGTGTGCTGATTGTATTATATATATTTGTTGTTATTTTAGTCCAATTTTTGAACTGGTTTTGCCAGGTTTTCCATTTTTTTTTAGCAGTTTCATTTTTATTTACTTTTGTAAGCTTCCTTAGTAGCCAGTTTTGGCAAAGAGTTTGCAGAATATATAAATGTTTAAATTCCATCATAGTTGTTGAACTATGTGGCAATTTATGCATTTATGTGGCAATTTATGCATTTATGAAAAGTATAATTTTTAAAAGTGCAAACTACAAGCTTCAGGTTTTTAAATCTGGGTTGGAAAAGGTGATGAACAAAAATACAGCTGGACTCATATTGGGGCTCCGTGCAGAAGTGACCCAGCAAGAACATTTCATTTCTAGAACCTGAAGAATAGCATTGTATATGTAAAGTGCTGTCAAGTTGCAGCCAATTTATGGCAACCCCAGCAAGGAGCTTTCAAGGCAAGTGAGAAGCAGAGGTGGTCTGCCATTGCTTTCCTCTGCAGAGTCTTCCTTGGTGGTCTCTTTTCCAAGTACCAACCCCGCTTAGCTTCCGAGATCTGACAAGGTCAGGCTATATCATACTGCCTTCCATCCCAAAAACTGCATTAATCCAATATTTTGTAACTAAAAAGTTTGAAATCCCATAGAACTGTTAATTTAGCTATGCTGATAGGAATAAAAGGTGCTACCAGCCTGCAAAACCAGGTGCTTTGTGGCTACCACTGTATGTCTCTTGACCCCAAAGCTAAATCCAGCTTGATCTATTACTGTATTTGCAGTACTAGACTTGTTTGTTTGCTCATTAGTTGTAATGCCCATTGAAGACTGCTGCAGTTTTGTTAAATGTTTTTGCTTTTCTTTACATGTTTCCAGAGCTTGGCAACTTTGCTGATAACTTCACAAATCCTTAATCAGTGTGTAGAAGCCATACTCCCTTACTGTCTCCAAAAGAGACGGCACAAGAGGGTTAAAAAAAGAGTGAAGTCATTACAAATAGATACCGACTTGTCTGTATTTGAGCAAGTTAATCTGGAAAAAGAAATGGATACCTACTTGGTAAGATGACTAATGCTTCTGCTGTGTTGGACCTTTACATTTCTTACAGCTGAAAAGTACTAATAATCAGATTTTCAGTAACCATAGATTATATAAACTATTTGCATTATAAATGGAATTTGAAGATATGCTTTGCATTTAAGAACATACTGGATCAAGCCAGAGTCTTATAGAATTCAACTCACTGTTTTCATGGAGTGCATACACTCTCTGTTTTGGTAGCAGAACATGTGATTTTTCAGTGCAAAGCTCTGAGTTCTTGCCCTGTCATTGTTCTTTCATTCTTAAAATGGAGAAGGGGGAGAATGCCACTTTGGGCCCCCAAAGGGGAGAAAAGCAGGGTGTCATTTAAGTAAACAATTAAATGCATGAGGTGCTTCCCTAATGTTTATGGGGTAGATGCATAAGGAGAATTCATTGAGCTTCAAATAAGGGCATTTGAGAAATTAGAACAGCAATCGCTACTTACACCCTCTTCACTTTAATCTTACACAGTCCATTTTACGGCTGTATTCTCTACTTTAATCTTCCTCATTAAAATTAGGAAAATGCATAGAAGCTAGGATCACCACAAGTACATCTAATCTTGTATTGATGGGCAAAGTGTTCTCTCTTCTTCCAGGGTACTTTTGATGACTATTTGGAGCTATTTTTGCAGTTTGGCTACGTGAGTCTTTTTTCGTGTGTCTACCCTTTAGCAGCTGTTTTTGCAGTGTTAAACAACATCACAGAGATGTATTCTGATGCCTTAAAAATGTGCAGCATCTTTAAACGACCATTTTCAGAACCCACAGCAAGTATTGGCGTATGGCAGGTAATGTAGCTATGTATTTGTATTTTTCGTTTGTTATCCTTGGAGAATACAAAAATCTTATTGTTTCTTAAGGACCTAGAGTAGTGATAACAGGATGTCCCCTGGTAGCTTTTGATTCCATTGATCATGTTATTCTCAATTGGTTGGCTTCTTTGGAGATTGGAGTATCATGATCCATTTATTTCTGGCTAATTGATTCCAGAAAGTGGCTCTGAGGAACTGTTGCCTAGCTCTGTGGTACCTTTCCTATGAAATCCCACAGGGTTCGTTCTTGTCTCTCCATGTGGTTCACTATCTCCATGAAATCACTGAGAGATCATCTGGAGATTTTGAGCTGTGTTACCAGTATGCTGATAGCACTCAGCTCTGTTTCTCCAGAACAAAAAAATCAGGTACATCAGTGGATATCCTGGAGAAGTGTCAAACGAAAGCATGTAGCATGAGTTACTACCCAACTTGGTATAATGAATGTGGTCGTTCCTTGAGAAGAACAATTTGACTACAGTTTTGTGCTATCTGGTCACTTCCATGTTAGGATACTGTATGTGGCTGCCTTTGAACAGACGTTTCAGCTGGCAGCCAGCTTATTAATGAGCGTGAGTTATAAAGAACATATTTTCCCAGTACTGAAATACGTTCACCGCTTACCAGCCTTCTGGCACAATCCAAAGTGCTTTTAAAAAACAAGCAAAAAAATTTTAAGACCAGAAACAGACATAGCCCAGAGTACTTGATGAAGGAACACCTTTTTCATGTCACACTGCTCAATAGTTATAAACACTGATTCAAGCCCTGCAGTGTGTATCATCTCTGTGTGCCCCATAGAGTGGTGTGTGGTATGCACTTAGACAGGACTTGTTTAGTAGTAGCACCTCATTTATGGAATGCCTTTGCCTCAGAACACCATTTGGCAGAGCTTACCATCCTTCAGATGCCTGGGTTTTTATCTGGCCTGGTTTTATTATAGCTCTGTTCTCTTTTTATCTGCATATTCTTACTTATTGTGGTTTTAAAATTTTTTATGCTGTATTGCTGCTAATAAAGAGCTTGCTTTTAGGTATGGTATGGTATAGACCTGTCATTTTTCTCCTGCTGGTTTCTGCAGCATTTTAAACTGTGCTGTTGTATGGTAGTAACTTTTTGGTAGTAACTTTTGTTTTAACTTTGTGAGCTGAAGAGGCAGCCAGTAAATATCCTGATAAATAGTTTATTGTAAGCTGGGAAGTCCTGATGAGAAAGGAAGAACAAGGGGAAATTACAGGCCAGAAAAACGGGCAAGACAATTTTGTTGTGTGTAGGTTCAAGCGTGCTTTATCACAATTAGTTAAGTTCCTTCCATTATATCTCCTATAGCAACATTGCACAGTTCTCCCTTCCTAGGTAGGGTCCTCAAGGCAGCAAACATCAACAAAACATTTCAGCATTAAAACAGTATTTATAATAAAGTAATTCAGTAATTCAGTAAGTAAGCTGCGGTGGCTCAAGTGGTTAAGACGCTGAACTGCAGGCTGTCGAAGGTCGGTAGTTCAGCAGTTTGAGACCTGGGTGCCGCATGACGGCGTGAGCTCCCGTCTGTAGTTCCAGCTCCTGCCAACCTAGCAGTTCGAAAGCAAGAAATTGCAAGTAGATAAATAGGTACCACTTCAGTTGGAAGGTAACAGCGTTCAATGCGCCTTGGTGTTTAGTCATGCCGGCCACATGACCACGGAAACATCTTTGGACAGCGCTGGCTCTTTGGCTTTGAAACGGAGATGAGCACCGCAACCCTAGAGTCTGATCCGACTGGCTTTCGAGCAAGGGAAACCTTTACCTTTTTAATTCAGTAAAAGCCTATAAATATACACAACACTAAAACCAGGAAGGAGAGCCAATGAGAGTTACGGGGGTATGCCAAACATAACAAAGAAGTCTTCACCCACTGGTGGAAGATAGTTAACAGTTGTAATGAGAGAGAAATCTAAGCTTGGGGGAGAGGGGTGAAAACTCTTAACGAATCTGAGTTCAGCACTTTCATACGGGAGTCTCCCTCTGAAGTTCTCTTGTTGGAAACTTGTGACTTTCACAGCAGGAACAGAGTTATCTGAAAATCATAGTTCTCCAAGAAAAGAAAGCATATGCTGGAATAAAATGTCATGAATCTCTCAGATCCCAGTTTTCTATTAAGGGGCTGGGTGTGGTCAGTGCCTGGATGGGAGAGTACCTAGGAACCCCCATGGAAGCCACGTTAATTTTCATGATTGAAGAAAGGTGGGATGTAAGTGTCATGAAATAGCTAGTACAGCTTTGCCTGACAATAGAGCATTTCTTAGCCCTAGACTGGGTGAGTTGTTCCTTTTCCTCACAACTCAGTGCTTGACGGAGGAAATTCCAGATCTCTTGCAGGGCCTACAACAGCATCCCGATGGACAGCTATTCTGTTTCTTGTTTGGAAGTTGAGGAAATAAATCTTCAGATGAATGTGGCATCCCACTAGGATCTGTTATACTGGTCCAACCACGCAGATTAGTATGAATGTGGTAGCCCCTTCATTAACTGCACGTTCTTGGTCTGCCACGTTCCTCCTGGGTACCTGGGTTGTAGTCTCAAGCTTAATGTCTTTAGACAGACCGCTGTTACAGCCATTTTTGCTTCTAGTAGGGAGGCTCAATTGTAGTCTCATCCACTCATTAATAAATTACTGAAGGAGTGCCCACCAGTCATTTTGTTGTGAAGCTTTTGGCTAGATATGTAATTGGTCACGCTACAGTTATTTTCTTTGCAGGTTTGTAACTGGCACCTAGTATTGTTATACCTGATATTTTCATATGACAGGTAAAGTAGGAAAGGTGTAGCATGGTTGTTTCCTTGTGAATGTTCATTTCTTCCTGATTAGCTACTGGCAGATTTCATGCAAATACCTATCCAAACTTTGAGCACCTTGAACTTCTGCATGTAAAACAGAGGAAAATCAGGAGTCTTTAGGATCCTGAAGCAAATAAAACAGTCAAATTATTACTGAGGGGGTTTTACTTCTTTTTCAGCTTGCTTTTGAAACAATGTCTATTATATCGGTCGTTACCAATTGTGTCCTGATTGGCATGTCGCCCCAAGTAAATGCACTTTTTCCGGACTCAAAAACAGAACTTATCCTGATCGTGGTGTTGGCAGAGGTAAGTGCAAGATTTTTTAAAATAGTGCTGTGATAGAGAAATAAGTATTCATAGCATGCGTATATTTCGTGGAGTGGTACATTTTTTATTTGCGGTTAGTAACAGTTTCTGCAGTAGCCCTGTTCAACAGTTATAGTGAACACGTGTACTCGATTTTCCTTTATATGTGCACTATGTTACAGTCACACATCTACAGCTGAATGTGTGATACAAACCCCACACATTCAGGTACTGGTCCCTGATTTCACTGGTAAAGTTAATGCATGTTGGCTCTTTCTTTCAAACAGATGGATGCACATACAGGCAGGGTGACTGTGTGTCCACTGTAACCTGTGAAGAGGGCTCTTCAGAGACCTTTCTATGTTAACATGTCTACCATGGAACCCCAGCATATTTCACATGCATTAGAACATGGTTGGTAGTGAACAGTTGTAAAGTGGGTTGGTGGGGTTTTTTGAAGAGGAGAAGCAATGTACAATCTGGATTACTGAACCCTTCATCTGCTGCACCTTTCTCCACCGCAGTCCCTAGCTGTTTTTCTTTTAGCCTAGAATATTCTGGTTTTGGAGTCTGCCCATGAGCAAAGCAGTGGTGGCAGGGAGGGTATGTGGAGTAGCAGAAAGATTAAAAGTTAATCACCTCTATCCTGCCTACTCCTTCTCTACTTGAATTTACTTCCTTCCACCATGAAACAGGAAGCTGTTCTGTCTTGGTTCATGTGGGGCAGTGGCCAGGATTGTTGGGATAGCTGATTATTTCCCCAGATACTCTTCTCGATAGGGGAATGGAGAGTCAGTACTGTAAAATTAAAGGCATTAGTTGCTAGGGAAATCTCATTTTCCTAGGAATAATGAATAGCAGCTTGAGTCAGGTGAGGATGAATGAATCTGTAAAATATCCATTCTTTGATCTCCAGTTTGAGAAAAATCATAATTTTTGTTATCAAAAATCTGACCTAGGGTGATTCCTCTGTGGTAATATGAACTCCAACCTTCCCTTTTTGTTTGGCATGTGTCTTCTCAGATGTATGGTTCTTTGTTGCCTTTGTTGCTATATATTTTCTCTTACGTTGTGGTGATCCCATTTCCTGAGGGAATAGTTTAGTATGAATAGACTGTTTAGTGGTGGAAGGGGCTCTCAAGTCACATCTGAGTTATGCTGGCCCGATAGAGTTTACAAGGCAAGAGACATTCAGAGGTAGTTTACCATTCCCTGGCTCGGCGTAGTAAACCTGGACCTGCTTGGTGGTCTCCCATCCAAGTACTAACCAGGACCAACCTGCTTAGTTTACAAGATATGACAAGATTGGGCCATCGGCATCAGAGCAATGTGCTGTTTAGGTTTCCCTGTTGTTCAAACTCTCTCCCTGTGACAAAGTAGAGGGAATATTAATCTCTCTTTTGGAAATTACACTCTAGCTGCTAGTGGATTTCCCCCCACCATGTAAACAAAATCTTTCCCTCATCTGAAATAAGGTTTTTCCATACCTTTCTGTTTCTTTTAAAAATAAATCAGCCCATGTTTACAAGCCAACGTCAGCAGTACAACTTATTTTTCTGCTTGCTTGTATTTGCTTCCTGGCAATGAACATTATTTCTCTGGTAGGCACCAAAGATCATAAATTGATCACCAGTTTAAAGCTGCCACTGTGTTGTATGGGTGCTTGGCAAACTGAGACATCTCTCTTCCCTCCAAAAAACCTGCACAGTAGAATGAGAGTTCAACAAGTAGCAGGTTACTTTGTGTTTTGGAAGATGTGTTTCATGTAATGAAGAAGTATATAAATAAATATCATTGCTTATTGATATTGCCACTGTATATCATCAGAGGCTGCATTAAGAAAAACAAAAATATTTGCTCATTGAAACCATTGACTACGTTATGAAACTAGCCATAGCCCATAGCATGGAATAGAATAGTTTAGTTTTAAAAGACTATTACAGAACATAAAGGTCTAAGCCCCTTAGTGAAGGAAAACAAAATCAGGAAATTTTAGTTATTTGATCATTATTACGCCCATTATTATCTCAAAAACATATAAAACCTTAAATATATGGCAAATAGAGGTAAAACATTCAAGGAACCACCTGCCAGTGCAGTTCTTAGACGTACAAAAGCAACACAGCTGCATAAATAACTCCATAAAGGAATATATGCGAAACCATAGAAGCATATAAATGGAATTTATTTCTTGTAGTTTAAGACTTCAAATAAATTCTCTGAATGGAGTCTAGTCTCAGGTCTTAAAAGAATCTATTTGAAGTGACTCTTTCAAGTCAGATTTGTGAACCAGAGTGCTAGGAAAGGTCTTACCCCAGCAACTGGTGGGCTGAGAGACATCTAAAATTCACTCCTTCCTGGACTGCTAGCAGAGCAAATGAGGTCTGAATTCTTCACGACATTTAAAGACTGAGTAAAAATAGAGCTGTGGAAAGGCCCTTTGTTTACTTGCCTCTGTCTCGGTATTCTTCAGACCTCAGCTTCAAAATATAACCTCAGCTTCAAAAACATAGCATTATGTTTTGATGAATGAATAGTGTTATGCCTAGACTCCTCCCCCCTTGGAAGGACGAGTCTGGTACCTAGGAAAAGGTAACACAGGCAACCTTCTTTCTCAGCATCTCACAGGGTCACTCACTCTAGACTCTTCCCTGGTCTGCAAATAGGATCAAAATAGGTCCTACAGTCATATGGAATGTGCACCATCAAATATTGACCAGAGGCTTGCTGGGAAAACTGATCCCAAAGTTGCATTGTGTAAGGATCAAAGTGTGAAAGGGTCACAGTGTCAAAGACTGATTTATCAGAAAAGGCAGTAAAACTAATAAAATTCCTCCCACGCCTGATTTTTCGTTACTTGGTTATCCTAAGTAAATATGTAGCAGAAATCATTTTAATCCCATAACATTCCTTATGATAGTTTTCTTGTTCTGGCAATTAGAGGTCATCAAACACAATAGACATTTTCACATTAATGTTACATTGCATTCACAATTCCTGGGATGCTTCCTTGCTCAGACACATTGTTTCGCTATAACCATCACACCATTGTTCTAGGAGCAATCATGTCATGTTCCAAGACATATATCCAGCAACACTCTGGTTGATTTTGCACTAGAGCTGCCTTGATGTTGCGCCGCCGTTTGCCCCGATACTATTGGTCAGTTTCACACCCGAAGCCACGGGGCTGCATTTGTCCTGCGGCTTGGCCCGATTTCCTCCACAGTTTCGTGATCCTCAACAAACAGGATCACGAAACTGCGGGGGAAATCGGGCGAAGCCGCGAGTCAAAATGCAGCCCGCGGCTTCAGGTGTGAAATTGACCAATAGTATCGGGGCAAACGGCGGCGCAGCATCGAGGCAGCTCTAGTGCGAAATCAGCCTCTGTTAAGTAGAGTGTGTGTGTTTGGATGTCCACTAACTTACACCCCCAACGTGAGGTTGGGCACACTTCCTTCACTGAGTGAGATGCTGGTTCGTCTCGTCCTTCTCAGATCTCTGATTCTTTGGATAGGTAAATATAGTCCCACAGAATAATCCCCCCTCTCTATAAGCTACCGCCTTTATTTTCTGAAACTTGTATGTACTCTTCAATTGATAAATTTTGATTTTATTTTTAATTCTCTTTAATAAAAAATTATTAATCACGGCCTGGTTCATTCTGAGAGTTCTACTGAGGGGAAAATCCTGGAATACATAGGTGGAGATCCTGCTTACCTTCCTCTCACATTGTTTGGGTCCCTTTGTTGAATTCCCCAACATACTCAGGAGACCCTCACAACCACTCAGAGTAACAATGGGTATTAGGATACTACAGGTGAGGGCCCATGAGATTCAAGGGATGAGGAATCCCATCCCCCACGTTCTTGTTGAGGTGCAGCTGCCTACCACCCCCAGTCATCAAGCCCAGCGCTGCTGCAAGTCTCCATAGCTGCTTCCAGGCCTAGCCGTGGCAGTGGTGTCTAGGAGCTGCTCTGGACCTGGAGTGGCTCCCTGGACTCTGGACACTGTTGTCTGAACTCTGGATATTCACTTATTGTAATGCCACCTGTTTTATCAAGATGATTTATACTTAAGAGATTACTGCTGCAGGAACAGTGCTCTTTTAAAATAACACTTTTTTCAGTTTATAAAAACTAATATGAGGTACCTGGAATGAAAACAGAACAGATAGAAACCACTGTGCACAGCCAAATGTTCCACTGGCGTTACTGCTGCAGCAGTTCTTGCTGTAGAAAAGAAGTAAAAACAAGTTGAGGAAACACATCAGTGATTTGTGTTCAGTTTGGTTTGGTTTTATTGCATAGGGCCCCAGGGCATTAAAAACAAGAACAAACATAAAATTTGTGATTGTTCTGACTCTGATTGCTGTCTTTTGTGAGTAGAGACCCAGATTGCACAGGCAGTGTAACCTGGCTTGGGAAACTACATAGCAGGACCCTGGTGACTTTCTCTGCACTCAAGAAGTCATATTCATTGACAGTGGGGCTTTGCCTTGTTGCCTGGAGACATTTTTAAAATTTGCCACTGTGCAATCAGGAACGTTTAATTGCAACACTGGCACGGAGTTAAATATTTAAAGTCTTTTGAATCTTTGGCTCTAGTCCTAAACATACTAACTCCTTGTTCAGGTTTTATTGACTTAATTGACATTGTCTCTGATACAAGTTCCTTGAGAATTTAAACATATATAATCAGTGCCAAGTTCGCTGAATGTTCTTAACATTCCATTTGTCATGATCCAAATTGAAGGCTAATTTTTTCGCTTTTGAAACAATTGATTCCTCTCTGCTAAAGTCCCCCCTTTTGGTCACTTATTAGTAGGTAGTCATAATATAAGGGGCAGGTTATGTTTGTATCTACTGCTGGTGTTGTGGGAGGATGGGCAGAGAAGGGGTAGTAAGTGCTGTAGTAAGCAAAGGCCCTTGTACACAGTGTTCAACCATGGTGCAGACTGCAGCAGCCCAGTTGTCCCATATATCATACAGATTTGCTCCTCT